ATTTACTTTATATTTTATTGCAAATTTAACCTTTAATTGAGGTCGACGAATCAAATAGATCATGATTAAAAATTTAGTACAATACAATGGGGATATGATTTTCAGCCATAATCTAATTGATTAATATCCCCCTTTGCTAAATACACGTTTATTATATTTTAAAAAAAAAAAATTCTTTAAACACCATTTAACACCGAAAATAACTTAGCTTAATTATTTTTTATTAGGTTTTTTGTTTGCTCCCATTTTTCCTAATTTCAAACAAGTAATGCTACAGTCATTGAGAGTAGTGCACCGAATGACGTGACATAATCTTGACCGTTGATTAATATTAAGTTATAATTAATCGACGGTCAAGATTTTATCACGTCATTCAGTGCACAGATTCGGTGCACTACTCCCGGTGTCTCTATTATTTTCCATTTCAAACTTAATTAGAGTTTTTGTTTACTCCACTTTTCTCCAAATTTTAAACTTAATTAGGTTTTTGGTTTATACTTATTTTTCCCAATTTCAAATTTGAAACTTACTTTTTTCTTCTTCAAATTCAGATTTATCGTGCTATGTGATTACTTTCTCTATAGTTTTAATAATATATTTTCATCAAACAAAAAAATATTTAAAATAAAAAAAATGTTCATCGATTTTGAAGATTTAGAGTTAGGGTTTATATAGAATTAACTTTTAAAAATGAAAACAAAACTGTAAAAAAAGAATATGAGTGTATTTAGTCATTTCTAGTAATTTTCATAAAGGTTAAAATTGTCAAAGTAAAACAAAAAATTTAAAAGTGAGAGACGGGCTCGAATTGACTTCCTGTTTTCTAAAGATGGGCTGGTTTGTTTGAAAGTTTCAGTGTACCAGATTTTGATGCTGCCCATTTATTATTGGGCTCAGCTGCACCTTTTTTTGTTGGAACCTCATCGGCCCTTGATGATGACGGAGTTCTTTATTTTGGGTCATATTCAGTTCTATTATTTGGCTATTGCTTAATCAATAAATAAAAAATCCATTTTCATTGGCTAGTTTTTTTTTTTTTTTTTTTTTTTTTTTTTTTTTTTTTTTTTTTTTTTTTTTTTGTGTGTGTGTGTATGTGAGTTCGCTGGCTTACAAACTCTAAAATCAAACTGATATGTTTATTTATAATTTTTTTGGGTTTATAAGCTACTTTGACTAAGTATATTACTACATTATCCTTATTTAATTTTAAAATTTCATCATATAACCCTTTTTTAATAAGATATTTGTTTATAAAGTATTTGTTTATTTAATTCTAAATTGAAATTATATTGTAATATGATTGAAATATATTTTGATAATATTATAGTAAAAAAAATTGAGTTAATATAATTTATTAATTGGTAACTACTTATCAATCACTTATAAGTATTTTAACCAAACATGTTCTGCTTAAATTTCAAATGCTTATAAGCTAATTTTTATAAACACGGCCAAATAGGCTCTAAGATGTATTTAGCTTGTTGATAAGAAAACAAACACCACTTGAGATACAAGGCTCAAGTTTATTTTTATGAAGCTAGGAAGAAAGTTGCTATGCCTGGAAAAGTAGGGTTGACGCAGAGTCTTGTCAGCATGAGGTGGCCAGAACTTAAAAAGGTTTCACGACTGCTCAGATGTGGTCACGTCGCGTGATGACGTGAGTGGCATGCTCCTGCCAGTGTAGTGGGTGTACACCAGGTTGGCAAATGGTTGGAGATGATCCACGTGTCCAATCCCTGCTCAAGTCAAGGAAATCACTCGGACAGGTGAGCAATGAGATGCAGAGAAGGATTTGCACGATACCTACCTCACTTGCAGATTTAGTAATCATTACCTTGACTAATGCCTCTATAAATAGATGACTTCTCTCTCATTTGCAGAATTGACTAATTTCATTCTGGAATAGCATACTCTCTCTCTCTCTCTCTCTCTCTCTCTCTTGTATTCTCTAAGCTTTACTCAGCTTGCTGAATTCGACCTGACCTTACTTTCATTAATACAATATCAATGGACGTAGGATTCGCTTGTGAGCATCCGAACCGCTTTAAACATTGTTCTTCACCCTTACCAAATCAAATACTTCCATAATCACGTGTGATTTTTAAGCCCGCTTAGCATTTCTCACGTGCGAATAGTTGGTGTCAAAATCAAGCATCAACAAAAGTAAAAGGTTATGTCAAGAGGATGAAATCATTAATGTATGTTGAAATGAATTTATTTGTTTAGGATGGATTGATTATTATTAAAGAAACAACTATGTAACTAGAGCTTAATCAACTAGAATTATGCACTCCAAAGTTAAAAAGTAGCTGCTTTTACATACCCCAAAATGAAAAGGAATTTGAACATAATAATAAAGCATACAAAGTGATTCATGAAAATATCACCTACTTCACACAAACAATTGACTAATAATAAATTTTATCATGAAAAATTATGGATTAAATTGCGGTAATCCATCTCAATTTTTTTCTTTTTACTTTTTTATGATCGGGGTGGTATAGATTAGTTTACGCATATCTCAATTAATCTTTAAGAACTTTGTAAGTATCGATAGGATAATAGCTTCAATAAATACCTTTATTAGCAACTAAGATCCATCTCTAATTACATTCTTATAATTCTTCTTAGTTTTTTTTTATATCTTTTCATTTATTATCTACTAGAGTATAACCTTAACCACAGCCGTCTTCATCAATAAACAAGTGATCATCTCACAAATTCACAACCTTTCATTCCATTTTACCCTTCTGATTCTGCCACCTGTTACTTCTTCTATGATCATCATGCAATCACATGCAACATTGATCCCCTCCCTCAATTCTAACTTCTGCGGCTCACCTCAACTAGAACCTCCCACAGCCGTTGGATCTCTCCGAAAACATCATCGGTCGGAAGCCGATACCGGCAACAAGGACACGTGTTTCTCTTCCTCAACCACGGCAGAATACACATCCAATGAAACAAGTGTTCGCATGGCAATTTACACACGTCTCTTCCTTCATTGATCTCCTCTTTACATATAACACACTCCAAACCGCCGCCACCGCTCACCTGCACCGACGGCAGCGCCACCACCGTAGCTGACGCCGCCGCCACCTCCCTCCCGGCCTTCCCTCCACCACCCATTACGCTAAGAAACCTCCGACACCTCGTCACCATCTCAATATACGGCATCAAAATTGCACCTTTATAAGTACCGATGCCGGAAAGAGTTAACAAAGTACCGCGGAAGTGTTTAGTTAATACACCGTGCCATTTGGCGAGTGGGGTTTGAAGCGCTTCCGGGTTTTGCTGTTGGACTTCACAGAGTAAAAGGAGGAGCATAACGGTGTCGGATTCACGTTGTCTGATTGTGGAGTTGAAAGCGTGTGGGGGTGTGTGTTGAAAGTGGCTAGTGAGGGGTTGGAGAGAAGAGAGGAGGTGGCGAGCGATGAGGAGAGTTTTGTTGGGGAGAGAGAGGGAGTGGAGATGGTGAAGAGTGAGAAAAAAGATGGGAGGGGAGGAGAGGAGGGCGGCGAGACGGCGGTGGTGACGATGGGTGAGAGAAAGAATGGAGTGGGTGAGATCTGAAAGCTTGGAAGAAGTAAGAGTGGAAAGTGCTGCAATGATTTTTGCTTCTTCTTCTTCTTCCATGGGATCGTGTGCGTGGGAGATTTGATAACTGTGGGTTTATATATGAAATCCTTTTACTAAATTGGTCATGAAGTTTGCTTTTAATTACCACTGGCTCCTTTACAAATGTGAGAGGTCTTGAGTGAGGGCAAGATCTCTATCAGATCCATAACACTAGTGGAATAATCATAAATGCACTTCAATGAAACATTAATAAAGTTGGATATTAAATTTTGAATCGTAAAACTTCAATTCTTTAATGTTTGAAAGTGCCTGCACACGGTTTTATTTAGAGGGCTGAAACAAGAGGTCCACATACCATAGAGAGGGAATTCATGAGAACATATCAGTATAATACCAGCTCTTCCGGTCTACCTACCAACACAATAAAAATGTGGCTTTTACGACCAGCTCTTTATCGACACAACCGTTAGTACCAGAATAAACCTTCTCTCTTGCTGTAATACAAAATCAAGAAAGATGTTTTATCTTTTCTATCATTAGGATATACTTTTTCTTTTCTTTGGTAATTAAGGTATCTGGGTCAGTTTGCACACACTTTAATTAATCATCGGAATCTATTGAATATTCTACAAACTCAAATGACCAAATAAGTCACAATGTGATAGGTGGTTGCAAGGTTCGAACCTAGAAACCTAATGATAAGAACAAACATTCTTGACCATTAAATCAATCTCTTGTGGTTCATGATACACTTTATGGGTTACTAAGTTTTGAGGTTGTAATATATCTATAATATATGCTTTTATGTCTGTGATATAATATGCCATTTTTCTAGTAATATACCGACTACAAATCAAAACTAAGATTGAGACAATAGCATATTTCTTCGGAATTTGGATTTGGTCTTTCTATTTAATAAAATAAGATATTAGAAGAAAATCCGTAGGAAATGGTTAAATAATTTACATTATTGTAAATTAACTAACTATTGTATCACTAATAATATTATGAAGGTAACGTAAAATGATCAAAATCTTTCCTTTTCTCTAGGTGGGATCATGGTTTATTTTCAACAAGTGCATTATGGGACTCGAATTACCAAGTTATATCATAATTATCATTTGAAGATTTGGGCGATCACGGTGGAACAGAAGAGATCGATGAACGCGGTGGAGTTTTAGAATATTATGGAGTGGCTCAGAATGTAGGTGTTTTTTGTCTACAAGCATGTGTCCATTTCAAAGACATTAAGACACTTTATTTTCTTTTCATTATCTCAAATAAGCACTGCCTTAATCAAGAGAATGGAAACAATAAGAAGAAAAAAAAAAACATTTGGCCCATCCATGGCTCCTTTCTCTTGTCTCCTATACAGTAAACAACAATTATTAGCCATGCAAACGCTATGGAAGTTAGCAAATTTTGTCACTCTTGCGCTTGTCCCGGCATATTGTCACCCTTCACACTTACATGACATCCACCACCTTCATTTATCTCGGTTTATACTTCTTGGAGCTTGGAAAAATGAATCCCCATTGACTATTTTAACCATGTGCTGAGAATTTAGTTAGGTGATTGGATTTGTGTACTCTTTGAAGAATGTGCAAGTGCATCATGGACATTCTGGTGAATATGAAAGGGAAAAATTATGATCATTGTGTGGAGAAGGAATGGGGGACCGACCAAAGAATAATATAGAAATTAACTGTGGCGTTTATGGCCAAAAGTTGTATCATTGGATGCTTTAACTGCAAGCAAAGATTACCCAGAAGAACAAAAGAAAGAGAGAAATAAAAAGACTCCAAAAGCAAAGAATTAAAGATGAAAATGGGTATTCTTCTTGTTTGGGAGTGATGATTACAGGGTAACACCGTTAAAAGTAATCCTAAGTGCACACCAGTCCAAAAGTTGGGTGAACAACTCAGAAAGGTTACAGGAGAAAGAATTATAGAAAATGTACCCCCACTCTGTCCAGGAATAAAAACGTATCAATCTTGTCTGTTCAGTAAGAATGGCATCAATATCAGCTCAACATCTCAAGAAAAATATGTAAATGTTAAAGAATGGGATCCAAAGTCTTCAACACGTCCAGCTCTGCATTATGCCTTTTCCTTGAACTTATAATGCACCAAGAAAACTAATTAAATGATAAAATGTACACTGTTTCTATCCTTCGTGTTGGACAATTAGTCAAAACAAAAATGGCAATTCAGATGTACTAATCAACAGCAGCAGCCAGCTCAAAGCTATCTAGCGTGGGCAACCAAACTACTGACTCACCAATAATGGTATTTCTGACCTGCAGGGACTCCTAAAGGTGGGTGAAGATATGTTAGTCATTTTGGCCTTAGGAAAGCATTGGGCACATTGGACTCCATGAGCCCACACCTCATTTCTACAAAAATTCTGATGCTTATGCGTTCACTGTTCATATATAGGCACTCTCCTCTTCATACTCATTCTGCAATACATACCCTTCTTCTCTCATCAAACCAAGCAATCCTTCCAATGCTGCGTATATCTCAACCATTCTTTCACTTGATGTGTCCTTAGCTATAAAGCTTTGTAACCCACCACTGGATTCAATCCAACTACTGCCTGGGATTTTCTTCAACCCATTTTTCATCATTTTTTCCCTCACCCTATCAGCTTCTTCCCATCTTCCAGCTTGTGAGTATAGATTTGCCATTATGACGTAATTTCCAGTATTTTCAGGTTCAATCTCAAATAGACGATCACAAACAAACTTCCCAAGTTCAACATCACCAGAAACTGAAGCCCCATTAAGCAGTGCCCCCCAAACCTTAGCATTTGGTTCAATTGGCATTTTAGAGACAAAATCTGCTGCTTCAGATAGTTTTCTGGCTCGGCTAAGAACCCCTACCATGCATGCATAATGCTCAACAGAGGGCTGAACGCCATACTCTGCAAACATGGAATTGAAAATCTCCCATGCTTTATCCACCAATCCCGAATGAGCACAAGCTGCCAACACTGCTGTAAATGTGACTGGGTCTGGCTGAATCCCATTATTCAGCATCTCATTAAAAAGAGTAAGAGCTACATTAGCATCACCATGGGCAGCGTAAGCTGAGATTATTGCTGTCCAAATAATCAAGCTCCTACCTTTCAACTGATCAAAAACCCGTTGTGCCCCATGAAGAAACCCGGCCTTTGCATAAGTATCAATAATGGAAGTTGCAACATAAATATTAGGAGCATAACCGTTTTTAAGAGCATAACTATGCATTTCTTTCCCTCCCTTTAGGTTTGAAAAATACGAAAACATAGAAAGAATACTTGAAAGTGTCACCGCGTTTGGTCTAAAACCTAACGCCTGCATTTCTCTAACCAAATCCAAAATCCCATCATATCGGTTATTTTGAACCAGACCTGAAATTAAAGCATTCCACGTACTTAATCCTGGTTGTTTCATTTCTCGAAACAGATTCATGGCTTTGTCAACATACCCATGAACCATGTAACCAGAAATAATTGCACTATACGAAACTTCATCCTTCTCACTCACCTCCTCAAATAATGCTCTTGCATAATCCAAACTACCACATTTTGCATACATTCCAATCAAAGCATTACAAAGCCAAACATCCACTTTAATTTGATTCTCAATTACAAACTTATGAACTTCCATTCCCAAAACAAGATCATTTGATTGCCCACACGCCTGCAAAAGACTGACTACTGTCACTTCATCTGGTCTCAACATCGAATTATTCAACATCTCTCTATATAATCCCTTACACTCTCCATAAAACCCTCCCTGTGAATACCCGGCGATCATCGAATTCCATGTTACAATATCCCTCTCAGACATTCTATCAAACAACGCCCTCGCTGAAGCAATATCATGACATCTCGAATAAAACGTAATCAGACCGTTAAAAATAAACACACCGGAATCAAACCCACATCTCAAAACATAACCATGAACCTCTTTAGCCAATCTTGACTCACAAAACAAACCCGACAACGCCTTTAAAACGCACGTGATTGTAAAGTTATCAGGCTTCAAATCCACCGAATAAGATGACAGCAATGACGAAAACAACTTTAACGTATCGGTATACATATCGTGAACAGAGTACGCAATGAGCATGGCGTTATAAGAAAACACATTTTTGTGGGAAATTTTATCGAACACGTGCTGGGCTTGAAAGAGTTTGTTAGATTTTGAGTAAAAATTGACAAGTTTTGAAGCCAGAAAGTTGTCAAGAGCGACTGAGGAGAGAACGAGCCGCGCGTGGAGCTGCTTGGCTTGGCGATGAAGGTGGCGGTCGGTGAAGTGTTGGATGAGATGGCCGTACGCGCCATAGTCGAGGGTTTGCAAGGCTCGCTGGATATTGCCGTTGATGGCGGGTAGTGTTTGAATTTTTGATAATGGTGGTTTCATGCGCTTCATTCATTTGTTTGCTCAAAGTCTTTCAATTTTGTTTTGTTTTTATTTTATCAAGTTATGTGTGCGTGAGCCAGTTAACGACGTCGTATTATCAGCTGAACATATTTACCACATCACCCTTGTCAAAACTTGAAAAAGAAACGTTCAAGTGACTTCAACGACAGCGTTTAGCTGAGATTCGTGTTCGTGTTCGTGTTCCTGGAAGAGTCAGAGTACATGAAGCAGGTAGGGTTTTGTTGTTGTTGTCTCTTTTGACAGTCCTAGGGTTTCATTGAAATGGAATGAGCAAGAATTCTTTGCAAGAACGAAGCTATGGTTTCATTTATCCTTTTCTATTTCTACTGGTACATTTACTCAAGCTAAAAAGCGCTTTTAATATTATCTTTTCTAGTTGCACTTGATGCTCTTCTTTTAAAAAGTTTATACAGAATATTGATGGCTTATTGTTCTTTTTAGAATTAGCTTTTGATATATCCAATTTAGGTCTTCTTTAGCTTCTTTTCGTTGAAAATGGAAAAAAATTGATTATATTCAGACGATATTTTGAAAGTAAGAAAGAAAAAAAGAGTTGGTTGAATTGAATTCTTTTTAATATCTAACTGAAAAAGATGGTGAAATTGAACATTTGTTCTGGCATTAGGGATTTGTTTTATTATTCCTTTGCATGCATCTTGAGCATCGAACTTCTCTATCTGACAAGGTGAAGTAATAATGATCACAAGCAACCACAATATTATGTGATAGGTACTCTTAAGGTTTGAACTCAAACACTCAAGAAGAAAACAAACCTCCTTGACCGCCAAGTTAACTAAAGCATATTTGGTACTATCAATCAAAGTATAATGGACATATCAGAAACTGTATATCAGTAGAATCAGTAAAGTGGTAAGCAGGTACCTTCTCCAAGCTTGAGTTTTTAAGTATTTGTTATGGATGAGAAATTTGTACCCAAAATCATACTTCATACAAATAAATTTTACAGCTAATTAACAGTAAAAGTACTTCTAGTTTTAAAGGTTAGCTGAGAAGCAGTTGACAAGAGCACTAAACAGTGAGGGGCCTGAGGGCTAGCTTGCCATTACCTTCTGGCTTTTGCCCTCAAACTTGGCATGTAGACAATGAGGCCTTGAGGCCAACACTCATGGCAACAACATGGAGCTATTGAGATTCAATGACTAAACAAACAAAAAGGGTGAGAAACAGAAAATTGGGACCCAACTTTAAGCATCAAATGGACGATACATAACAACTTTCACATGCTCTCTGGATGTGCACAATCATTCGAACTTTTTATTAATTAACCATCCAAATGTTAACTTAAACCATAACTATATTTAAGTGTACCTTGGGGTAGTACTAGTAGCCTTTAGCTTCAATGCTAAAGAACAGAGCTCTTTCTTCCTGTTGTATTATAAAGATGAAATTATTAGTATTATATACATGCATAAATTTTAAGAAGGGCCAACTCTTCATAGGTCTTCCTCTTCCATGGAATTCTGAATCCTTTCTCTGGCAAGCCTTAGTGCATCAAGACTTCTTAGCACTTCCACTCCTTATCTTCAGTTCATTTGTCTCCTGGGATTTCTTTGGGAAAGTCACAGGAACTATTGCCATTGAGTTATCCACATAATCTTCTTCTTATCCCTCTCATTCCAGCTTCATTGAAGTTTCATGGTTGCAGAGCTGTCAATTGTACAAAAGATTCATTTTTAATTAACTTAAGTCATTAATAATTAATAGTATAAATGAGCAAGTGAAATGGGAGTGTACCTGTGATTTCAACCTCTGAATCTTGACAAATTGACTTGATTTGTGTATTGTTTTATTCATGTGGAGGATCTTCTGACACCGAATTCTCTTGAATGGAAGAACTTTCATGGCTTTGATTAGATGTATTGGATTCTGAGATTTCTGGAGTTGTGATCTGTGACTTGGTCAGATTCTTCTATGTCTTTGAGGCCTGAAGTGCTTGCGGTGATATTTACAAGAATGTGCAGAGTTTTCTGAAGAATAGATTGCTCGATTCATTCAAAGTAAATGTTATCTTCAAGGACTCAAGCTTCTTTTTCAAAAATTTCAGTTTCTTTTCAGCTTTATTCCTCAATTTATTCTCTTCCTTGAGTTTATTCTCCAGCTCTATCAGCTGTGTCCATCAAAAAGTTTGGAACAGAAACACAAAAAATCAAACAACAATCTCAAATTTCTTCTTTCAATTCATACAATCAACAAAACAAATGCCCCAGAAACAAAATCTGAACAGGAAGTATAATCATAAGCAAACCTTGATGCCCATTAGTTCTGCATCATCTTTTGCAGCCCTTGAAGCTGTCTTTCTGCAATTAATCTTCCTCTCAGACACTCCAAAGTCCTCAAGTTATCATTGTGCTTCACTGAAAAAAAAAAAAAAAAATACAGCATCCAATGTGAATAGTTCGGCATTCTTTCATACACCCTCCAACAGAGAGAATCAAGAAAAACCACCCACCTCCATTTCCCATCTTCCTTACTAGTAGTAGCAATCATTTTTCTCTTCTTTGGCCTGTAACCGAAGGGATCAACTTTAGATTTTTTTTTACACTAAAATAGCAAGTTCACTGCTTTCTTCCCCAGTTACTCTCTCTCTCTGAGTCTCAGATCAGAACTTGACCCTTTTAAAAAAAAATAAAAAAAAAGAAGACAGTGAAGAAAAATGTTCAAAAAAAAAAAAATGTTTGTGGGGAGAATATCTTTTTTGCAAAAAGAGAAATGCAGCTTTGAAGGTTGGAATCCAAGGTCAGACTTACAGAGAAGTTGGCTTTTTTGGCTATGCCAGGTGGATTATATGCAGAGCCAAAGTTACTTCCTTTGTTTTGTTAGTCACACTTTGTTTTTTTGACAACCACCTTTTTTCACTTTCCAGTGATTCAACTTTTTCAACCGTCCATTTATTGTTTACTCCTCCTACTTGTGTCTTAAATCTCATTTAACTTTGTCACATAACATAGGATGTATATTGTAATACCGGCTCGGTAAACGATATTGACCTAACCAGTGTTCTGAAAACCAATCGGACCACCCAGTCAGACCGATTCGACCGACAACCAATGGCAAATCTGCTCCGAATATATAAAAAACCTTATTTGAAGTTAAACCGGACTGGACCGCGTTGACCACTAGAATAGTGTCGAATCGCGGTCCAATCGCCATCGGATTCCGACATATTTCGAAAGAGAAACACCCTCATTCGACGGACGACATCTCCACGACCAAACCCATCCATTTTCAGTCGCCGTCGTCTAGCCTTCGTCGATCGCGTCCACCTAAAGTTTACGGCTTTACGCGACTCGGATTTCTTTTGTTGATTCCGACGAGTTCCGACGCCGATGGAACTCTGTCGCACCACCATCAGAGTCGTCGGCACCTGCACATCAAAAGCCCCAAGATTCCAGCTTCGATTGGCCGTCGATCATCGCTGCCGTCACATTCACCAAATCTTCGCGCGACAAGGGTGTTTTAGATAGATTTAAACCTTAAGAAAGTATTATAGGGTGTTTGATGAATTTCACCTTTGGGACTAAAAAATTTTATAAATTACTGTCCAACCGCCGATCCAACCGATCAAACCGAAAACCGGACCCTTGAACGGGTCATTGTTCGATCCGGTTTTCAGAACATTGGACCTAACACAACTTTAAACAAATAGTAACAACTTTAATACTAACGAATCACTACTGCCCATGGTAGCAGAGGACAAAAGGATCTAAGTTACATTATTTCTCAAATTCAAGTTTCACGATTCTTATAGGAGTCATCATTATAGTTTGTATCTGATCAATAGTTTTAAGATCTCAAAAATTAGTTAAGGTATGTATAAATGGCCCAAACATTCTTGATCATAAAAAAAAAAATAATAATAAAAATAAAATAAAAACTTTAATAAAATGTTAGATGACCGTAGCAATGACAATGCCACTAAATGTCCAGTGGGGGCTAATACCCCCATTGACTCTGGAATTGATTGTTAATCCTCTTTTAATTGTATTCTTACATGTAAACACTTTTTATTATATTTTAGAGAGTATTCTCAATACTATGGCCACCATTATATATATAATTTTTTTTTTTCTTCATATTTTAAAGAGTGATATTAATCTATATCTCATGTTTTTAATCTACATTTTTGGTATATTTTTTTTTTTTTTCCTTGCCCCCAGTTGAAACAAAAATCTGATTCCTCATTAAACATGGGTAGTTAAAATTGACCACCTAATTTTGTGTCCTAAGAGTAGGACATTAAATAATTGCACTTTTGAAAACAATATGTTGGGCTAATAAGAGAGGAAATTAATTATGGGCATTTTGCCAAATTGCAAGATTCTTGAATTTAAAATTCATTAAAAGCTTATTTATTGTAAGTTTGCTTAATGTATGAAAGATGAGATGGGACAATTAGTCTAAAGTCTAGAATGAAAATGCCCATAAAAGATATAGCAGCAGTAATGACAGTAGCATTTATTGATTGATTTAAATTTGAAATAGAATGAGGTGGCAGGCCCGGTTTATAAATGAATTGGTTCAATTTTGAAAGCCTTCACGGAGCTTCTACATATACAGTTACATTACAGTATCTAGCTTAGCTGTCACGTGATGCCTCGGAAATACTCGCTGTTCTACACTTTGATTCATGTGGCTTCACTTCTTTTGCTTTTATAGAGTAAATGACTGGTTCCCACCAAGGTTTAGAAAAATAGCTAGTTCACACCCTTGGTTTCATAAATTCCAATTCTACCCTTAAATTACACATTATTAACGGAGGTTAGATCCTGATACAGATTCAAAGGGAGTTATTACTAACTACCCTCCCACTTATATTATGATTTCAAACTTCATCCCAACCACCAAAACACTTCGCACATTTCTCTACTCTCCCCACTAGTTCCCTCTACACTTTTTCTTTTTCTTCCCGCCCCCAAGAAAATTATCTCTCCTCAATGAAAACATAAAAAGATTGAGACTAG